ACGGGTTGAGAGCCTTTAAATTCATCAGCTGGATTTGGTTGTTATTGTTGTTGTAGCGGCTACAACAACCCCGCCCAGATCGGTTGATATCTCAGTCGTTGTCGTCAAGTTCCACTAACGGCAGCCCTAAGAAGCGCGCAGCCTCAATAGGGTCGGTCCACAGGGACATAGGCGTTACGGTTGTCGGGTTTTCCGGGCATGCGAAGAAATGTTTCGAGTCGTGAGGGTCTCTCCGCATGCCGGACACTCATTTGGCACATCCGCGTTTAGTCTGCTCAGGTATGAGTTTAACCTGCTGCAGTAGCCAGAGCGAAATTGCGCTATTGTAGTTCTTGTCTCCCGAGGCAGATGAAACTCCGTCTCGTCAATGTCCGGTGGTTGTGTGCCTAGAACGGCATTCACAGGTCTGGAGTCTACATAACTCGAGACTGACTCCCTGTGAATGCCGTTCAGGGCCCGTCGGTATGATGACGGGTCCAGAGGTTGCTTAATGAACCTCTAGACTTCGTCCGTCAGTTCGTAGAGATGCCTCCTTACGTGCCTAGGCGAGGGCTCCTCTGCAAGCAGCTGTCAGTTTGGGTGACCACGTCTGTGACTCCCAACCAGAAACTGCTTGCGAGCATTGTGTTACGCTCCTTGACTGGGAGCATTTTCGCCTCGTCATACAGGTGGTGTTCTGGCGACATCAGAAGGCATCCAGTCGCTGTCCTAAGTGCTGTGTTTTGAGTCGTCTGTAGCTTCATCCACTGCGTCCTACTAGTCCCCGGCGACCACACTGGTGCTGCGTAATTTAAAACCGGCCGGCCTATTGCCTTGTATGTTGCCAGCAACGTTTCTTTGTCTTTGCCCCAAGTACTGCCGGCTAGCGACTTGAGGACCTTGTTGCGGCTCTGTACTTTGGTGACAATAGCGGTTGCGTGCGAAGAGGAGAGCAGGCTGTCGAATGTTACTCTCGAGTATTTTGGGGTTATTTACCGTCGGAATTGGTGTATCATCGACGTGAATTCCCAGCGGTATCCTGACGTCCTTCTTCCAGTTGGTGAACAAGGTCGCAGAGGATTTCGTAGGGGAGAGGGCTAGACACTTTGCAGTGAAGAAGCGAGAAAGCTCGGAGAGATAGCCGTTTACTTTCGAACACAAGTCATCAATTCCATTCCCAGTCGCCATGATCGAGCAATCGTCGGCGTAAGAGACAATCGAGACTCTCTGGTGGTTGAGAGAGCTTTAAAATATAAAAGTTGAAGAGTAGCGGGGAAAGGACACCACCCTGTGGAACCCCTGTTTTATTTTTCTGAGTTTGCTCGATTTGTCTCTAAACATTACCGACGAGTGTCGACCACTCAGATAATTTGCCGACCATTGTTTGAGCCTCTGTGGGAGAGAGGAAGCCTCCAACGCTACTAGAATCGTTCTCTCACAGGGACGGTTACGGTTAAGGCCACGAGTTATCTGAGTGTTTATGGCGTTAAGTGCTGTTGTTGTACTGTGCACTTTACGGAAATCATGCTGATGCTTCGCCGGGGTCAGGTGGTTCGTGAAATACGGGAGCAGCAAGGCCTCAGGTGTCTTCGCTACCGGGAAAGGAGTGTTATCGGTCGATACGAATCTCCTTTGTTGGCTGGTTTTCCCGGTTTGAGCAGTGGGACCACTCTCCACCTTCCAGATGTCTGGGATGATGAGAGTGGCCATTGACAAATTGAGGACCTCCGTTAGGTACGCTACTCCCGCAGGACCCAAATTTTTCAGCATCAACATGCATATTCCGTCGGGTCCAATGGCTTTGGAGGCTTTCGCCTTCACGATGGCTACCCTTGCCTCACCGCTGGTGAAAACAAGAGGCGCACTAGGTTTTGGCATTTTGTGCAGCCTTCTGGTCACTCGACGTTGGGCTTTATCCACCGGAGGATGCATAATGAACTGCCGGCTAATATAGCTCGCGCATCTCTCCGGGTCCGACGAAGCGTGGTCACCAAAGTCTATCTCGACTCTGTCGTCGCGCTTCGCCGGGTTGGGCAACGACCTCACGGTTGACCAAAGCTTGCTCACACCAGAGGCGAAGTTACAGGTCTTCAAATGCTCTTCCCATTTCTTCCGCTTATGTACGTTCACAAGTTGCCGAATCTCCGAATTGAGATCCCTAATACGGGGATTTCCGGGATCGGCCTGACGAAGGTTGTCGCGCTCATCAGCTAGAACAGCCGCTTCGGCAGGAAAATTCGGACGTGGATCCTTAATACAACCTGCTGGGATGAAGCGAGTTGCAGCAGCGGTGACAACCTTTCTAGTCAGCTTTGGAAAAGTTGACGTAAGTCCGGTGATCCACGGAAGCAAAGTCGGCTGGTTTATCAATATGGACAATTATGGGCAGATGGTCTAATGCTAGAGTCAGCATAGGTCGCCATGATACGCTGTTTATCAGACCAGCGCTGATAATTGTTAGATCTGGCGAGCTGCAGCAGCTGCCCATAATCCTGGTGGGTGCGTCGTCGTTCATTGTGCAGAATGTCGAGTCGTCTATCTGCTCAGCCAGATGTATTCCCCTACGATCGTTTGACAGGCTTGAGTGCCAAAGATCGTGGTGCGCGTTAGTCACCAACTACTATACGGTTTTCACCTCGTGAGTAGAGCACCTATTTCAGGGTGATATCCTGCCGGGCAGCTGGTGACAGGGGGTATGTATACGTTAAATATCTCGAGCTCAACATCGCCTGACCGGATAGCAATACCCTGACATTCTAGGATGGTATCCCTACGGTCGATGTCTGCTTCAATGAGACGATTCAACAGGGTTGAATTGCCGTGCAACTTCGTCTCTTGGACCGCAGCTATTTACATTCCATGCCTTCCCATAGACAGTTATCTCCTCGATCTTGCTCTGGAGTCCGTTACAGTTAAATTGTAGCACCTTTGTGTGCCTTGGGAGACCGATTGTGATGTGTGGTGTTAAAGAGTTGTGTTGCCTGCCGGCCCCTGCTGTACGTGCTGCAAAAGGGGATGCTGCCTTGTGGTGGTGGTTGGCGGCGTTGCGAGGGAGGGATGCGACGGGGCAGCACAGCAGGGGCCCACATAGTCACTCGTCCAATCTCGCGTGTTGCCAAGTCCTGAGCACGCCCTAAAGTGGCACCAGCCGAGGCAAGAGTTGCACTTGACTGATGTCACGTTACGGTATATTCTGGACTGACAAACAGAGCAGATTGTCGGAGGGACTAGGAGTTGCCGGCGGCGGTGTGTGGGTGCTATTGTGTTTGTTTGTGTGTCTATTGTTGTGTTGTGTTGGTGTGTGGGTGTGTTGATTGTGTGCTGCCCAGGCGGGTGGTGGTTTGCCGTGGAGGCGGTCCGGTTCGCACAGCATGGGGCCACGAACGACGTGGTCCATTGCCGGTACGTACGTAAGCCCGAGCAGTTACGGAGGCGACTCCACCCGTCACAGGCATTGCACCTGACCGAGGTGGAGTTTGTATGCAGACGTCTCTGGCATACGCAGCAGGTGTAGATTTCTAAACGGGGTTAGATCGCCGAAACAACAGCCCTTGGTCGGGTAAAACCCCCGAGTCATTCCGGTACGTAGAACCGGCTGTCGTGGGAATGCCATTGGCTGTGTGCGCTGCTGTGGTGGTTGCCGCCCTGTGGTGGTAGTGGGTGGCGTCGCAGTTGCGGTTTGCGACCGTGCAGCGTAACACGGGCCCTCGATGTTCCTCGTCCAATCTCGCGTGGTGCGCAGACCTGAACATGCCCTAAAGTGGCACCAGCCAAGGCAGGTGTTGCACTTGACTGATGTCACATTACGGAATATCCTGGTCTGACATACAGTGCAGATTGTAGGAGGAACCAAGAGTTGTTGGCGGCGGCGTGTGGATGGTGGTGCGGTTGTGTATGTTCTGTGGTCTGTCGTGGTTGTGGTGTGTTATATTGTATTGTTATGTTGTGGTGCTGTGGTGTTTGAGTGGAGCTGCTCAGGTGGACTGGGGTTAACCGTGGAGGCTGCTCTATTTGAGCAGCAGGGGGCCACAAACGACGTGGACAACCCCTCGCAAGCATTGCACTTGACTGAGGTGGAGTTGTGGTGTAGTCGTCTCTGGCATACACAAAAGGTGTAGGTTTCTGGCCCTGGGTTTGACTCGATGCCAGCCCTGAGCAGAAGAATACGTAGCAAATGTAGCCCTATGGACGAACAACTTCTGAGATACTTCGCCGACCTAAACGGGGTTAGATCGCCGAAACAACAGCCCTTGGTCGGGTAAAAGCCCAAATTGAAATTTTTTTTTCATTAAATTATCCAAGCTAATGCTAATGAAAAAATTTTAATGCACTAAAATGTTTAATACTTTTGCTCGTTTGCATTATTAAATAACATTAAATTTTTTTTCTAGTAAAATATAAATAGCCTCTTTTGGAAGAACTTGGAATAATTACTAATAGCTTTTTCAGCTTCATTATATTATGTGTATTTGTAGAAACATTGTTAGATGTTTTATGAAAATGAAAGCCAATGTGCATGCAACGCAGAGTGCTTTTGTAGATTTTTATGTTGATTGTTGATGCATACCGAGTACATATATTAAGTATGAGCCAAAAACGGACAGATAGCCAGTTTAGCAGCGCATGTACACAACTGAGGACCTACTCTGATATAAATCAATGAATAAACCGTTTTTTAGTTCCATTAGACAATGTGATTTTACCTATTTAACGACAATTGCCATTGAACTTGACATAGTGAAACCTAGCCTTAACGTCCGTCACTATCTTTTTTTGCCTTAAAATTCTACCCTCAACGTCAGCAAAGATTTTATACTTCAAAATAAAATTAGTTAATCGGTTTTAAATGCTTGTTATAATTTTAATGCAATAAATTATTGCAATAGCATTCATTTAAACATTTTAATGTTAATACAAAAAAAAATAAAATCATTAGCATTATTTCTTCGGAATTAATGCATTAAAATTTTCATTTACATTAAATATCAAAAATTAATGCATTATCTTTTTAATTTACATTAAAATGCTATGCATTCAAAAATTTAATGCATTTTTCACAACACTGCTCGATAGGCACTACTGACAGCGTGTACGAAATTTGGAAATATGGTTGATTCAAATTTGCTTGAAAAATAATTGGGTTAGTTTGCTGGCACCGTATTAAACTTTTGCGAATAATGGTGTTTTAATCAAGTTTAATAATTTGTGCTAAAGAATTTGCGGTTATTTTTTATTACGGCTATTGTACTTAAAATATATATATATGTGATTAAATACAATTAATTTGTTTTTGATATTACTTAAACAAAGATAATCATTTACTAAAAACTAAGAACCTAGTATTTCTTAATACGACTAACATATTTGCAATAAGTGTCGTTTTCTATTTACACATGCATACATATGTATGTAAATACATAGGGGCTGTTCGAGCCACGTTATAAAATCGGCATTACCGCCGTACTGAAGAAAATTTAGAACACTGTTGCAACTGGCCAACAGATAATACGTTGCTAGAAATTCACACCGAATGTGGTACTTTAATAATTCGCCCAACACTGCTGTTTTGATTGCGACTCGAACAAGCCCATACATACATATAGATGTATATATTATAAGGGCCTATTTTTATATCAGATAAAAATTATAATACTTAAAACGGCTAGTCTGTATTTTGCTTCGATTTTCTATAGTTGGATATAACGAAAAACGAGCAAAACTAACAGTTTATTTCTTGATTTAACCCCTCAACAGTATGCATTATAAACGACAGATTCAAATTTAAATATACCTACATATTATGTATGCATACTGATATTTTGTACACATTCCAATCATTTGTTTAATACGACTACCGCAAATTAGTATGTGTTTTGAGATGCTTCTTTAAATGATCGCTACGCATAAACCGTCGCTCACATGCTACACATGCGAATGGTTTCTCTCCAGTATGCGTGCGAAGGTGGCGATTAAGATCGTCCTGTCTTTTAAAAGATTTCGTACATAACTTACATCGCCAAGGACGATGTGGGTCATGAGTTTCCTCCAAACTTTCCTTCCCGATCTCTGGCCATCCCATAAATGCACCGTCAGCTGATATACTTACGGTACTATGATCCTTTTTTATTTCTGTGGAAGTGCAACAATTTGGTGGCTGTGATTCGGGTTTGAATTCGTCGACTGGGGATGCCAATTTAGGCAATTGATAATCTGATCCCGAATTAGAGGTATTTTCCTTCGGAGCCTTAGAAAACAGACCAGTTACTCTCGTATCTGGTGATACAACGTGATATTCGTTACTGTTTTCAGGCCGTTCCAATTTTATTTTTATCGGTCTATGATCAAGCAAGGCGTCATCAGTGACATGTTCAGCTATTGGCTTAGATTCGGATCCAGTTGAATTTTTCGATTCTACATTACTGCGATTTTGTTGAAGCGTCGCCATAAAATGCATACCGTTCCCATATTGGATTTCTTTTTCTATGTTATCGGTATCCTCAAAGTTATTTTTCGAATCGGCTGATTCAATCGCATAACTTTCTTTTTTTGTACGGTTTCCATCTACTTGGGTTCGTGGCTTTTTGGCGCTGCTGAAGCTATTTTGCATTTGCTTTGCATGAGTGGCAAGGTGCTTAGTAAGGTGATCACTACGTGCGAACTTTTTTGTACACTGTAAAGTTATATAAAATGTTTAATACTTTTTAATTATTACGAAAATACTCATATAAATTGCGCACCTGTATGCATTCGAAGGGCTTTTCTCCTGTATGCGTTCTCAAATGACGGTTAAGCTCATCGGATCTTGTAAATCCCTTACCGCAGTTCAATTCCGAACACACAAACGGTTTGATGCCAGTGTGCCAGGTTAAATGTGAACGAAGGTGGGAACTTTTTCCATAACTTTTCGTGCAATTTTCATAGGGGCAAGCAAACCTCCGTTTAGGATCCACAGGATTCGGCAGCGGCATTAGTTTAATAGTGGGCGTAAGACGAATTTTCGGACTATTGGTGTTACTATTATTATATGTGTCATACGAATTTGACATATCATGTGGAGTATCATAAATTTCTTCTGGCGGCTCGTGTTTTATTTCCGATTGCAATGCTGGAGGGACAGCAACCGATCCCTTGATTTGTGTATTACTTTCATTAGGTATTTTGTAGTCACTCCCACACATACTCGTTGGTAATACCGCCGGCGTTGCAGCTGACGTCATCTCTTCTTGCGTGGGCGTGTCACTTAATGTAGACATTTTTGTCAGTATTTTCAACTTAATTTTGCTAAAATGTTTAAGAAAATTTTGCGTAATAATTCTGTAGTATATACCACGCATGAATAGATGGACATATATTGATCATACCTTGTTATTTGGAATCTAAATATAATTTAAGTTTTCCTTTATAGCTACTTTTCAGTAGGCGTTCCCGTTTGTTTTTACTATCCTCGCTGCCCACCCCTACTTGTAACAGATTTACTAACACCTCTGTTGCTTGAAGGCACCAACTTAATTTTCTTCCCACGGGACAACCTTAATATATCAGCAGTTAATTTTTAATGCAATTTGTGCATATTATTAAATATTTGTGTTTATACGTATATACTTAGTTATAGAATTAAGTTTTAAAAACAGGGTACTTTTTCTGCGCTCGCTACGTACGGCTGAAAGACAAGTTATTTCCTGCGACATTGCCAACAGTCTCTAGTACAATTTGTAAGGGTCTGTTTGCACTCATATTTTTTGAAGCCATTAAGCGCCTCTTATACGTTCAATACTTACGGAGAGTATTTCTGAATGTTGCGTGTTTTTAGGGGCGTCTGCTATACTTTTGGAGACTTTTGGAAAACAAAATGAGCGATAGCAAATGTAGGAATCCAGCTGCTGTACCAATTGATAGAAAAGTACTCCGGATTATAAATTTCTGAACTCTTATAGGGGAATGAAAATTTCTGAGTCGGCAGAGCTAGTGAAAAACTTGACAAAAAATCACACCTACCTCACGGTCTTGAAGTGTTTTTAGTTCTAATGTTATTGCTAAGACGTCAAATAAATGCATGGCTTTCAGTTCTAGAAGAATTAAAGTCAGTAAAGACAATAAAGCAGTAAAAAGTTACGAATTTGTCACAGCAGAAATGTAACATTTTCTCACCATAGTAAAAAGTTGTTTCGCCATAGAACTTTCCCACTGGGATTGTCACAGGCCCTCTGCATGAACCAATTAGAATAGATCTGACCGGTTGACAAGCAGTTATTTTCAATAGCCTTTGAGAAAAAAGTGTTTGACTTTCTATTTCTGTTTTGTTATTTGCATCTCTTTATTTATGTGCATTTTGGCGGTGGTTAATTTCAGCGATTTATAAGCGATTTTCAACACATTTTTTGTTCAAATATAATTAAAATGAAGTGCGCGGTAATCGGTTGCAAAAACATGTATAAAAGTAATAAATTGGTTTGCACTAGAGGTTTCAAACTATCGATGGTACTATCGATAGTATCGATAGTTTAATTTTTATGCCCCTATCAATGAGTAGTGATAGTTTTTCTCAAAAAAGGTTAAACTATCGATAGTAATAGTTGACTATCGATAGTTTAAAACCTCTAGCACAGCCGATTTTATGTACAATGTCTCCATGTAGCTGCGCGTCAGTTTTGTCAGTTTGTCAATTTTTTACTTTAAGTGATACTTTCATTGTGATTCATCCTTTAATGGCCGTTTTTTCAAGCAACCTTTAATTGAAAAGCTCCCTTAAATTTAAACTTTGCTTCAAACCATAAGGCTATGTCTGAAGTAAAGCATTTCTATTATCGGTGTTTGACGCTTGTATGTTTCTTGGCTGTAAACAAATCAAAAAATTATATTACGAAATTTAAACAAAATATATCATATTTGAAAATTTATAATAAGCAACAATTAAACAAGGCAACAGTTATTTTGTTGCGACAAATAATAAAGCTGTTTTTGATAGACTTTTTTATGCTGATTACGAGTCCGTAAGCATAAAGTTTCCATCAGCTCCAGATTTTGAGAAAAACGAGGTCAAAGTGTCAAAAGATCGCGTTTTTTGCAATATTTTAGAAGGTCTAGCACAAAAAACAAAAGGTGATAGAATCTTTAACTGGGGCTTAAATTAAAGCAATAACTCTCGGCTACTATCCCTGCACCTTGACCTGATGGTCACTAAGTCATTTATTGAACAATATAAAAATACTGGAATAAATACTGTGCTATTGAAAAATAAATAAATAAGTTTTGCCAAAATCAGTTTTTGCTGTTAAATAAATAACTATGAGTGACCTTAGGGTTAAGGTTCAGGGATGGTATTTTAAGTGATTGTAGTCGAAAGTTCAAGCCTTCGTTTCAGCCCAAGTGGAAGGCTATATCCCCTTTTGTTTAATTGCGGTGGGTACTCAAACTTCGCACAAAATCAGGTTTTTCCGTTCAATAAATGACTATAAGTGACCATCAGGTCAAAGTGTAGGGATGGTATTTTCAGGGATAGTAGTCGAGATTCCAGCCTAATGTTTCTTTGCTAGAGGTTCAATCAAATCGAGAGGCTAAATCAAAAGATATCAAACCGATGAACACGCAATCTGTGAAGTGTTCTAATTGTTCTAAGTCAGGCCATTATGCTACCAAATGCCCTGAGCCACAACGCAAAGACAGATGCGCGAATGCAACCGCACCACTCACAAAACTAGTTATTTAGAGGTGGGTAACTCAACTCAGAGTTGAGTTATTGAGTTGATCCCCATAAGTGAATCGGTAACTCAGACTCCCTGTCCAATAAAAATGTAACTCAGTAACTCAGTTGATGCCCTAGGGCTCACATGATTCAATTGAATCATAGTGGCTCATATTGGTCCATATAACTCTCTCACTTCGCCACAGTGTTTAGCATGGCAAAGTCTTGCATTTTGTTTTTGCACGAGGCGAATTTATACAAGGTGGTGGCAAGAATACAACAACAACAACCACATGTATTTTGTATTGCGGGTGTTATGTCAAATCTCAAAAATTCTTATAATTTGGTTTTTTTTTTTAGTTATGTACGTATGTAAGATATATAAAGATGTGCATATCAAATCAATTGCCTTTTCAACCATATCCACGTTTTGAAATTCGGTACAATAGTTTTCGAAATATAAGCTTTTGAAAATATTGAAAATTCCACCTTTACCCTCCCCCTAGCACCTCCCCTTTTAATTTGCTCAAAAAAAATTTACACCTTTCAAATCAGTAGAAAGGAGCTAACCACGCCCACTTTAAAGTTTTGTTTTATCTCAACGGCCGCTATACCGCATTTATGCCTCAAAAAGAGTCTACGATTCGAACTCATTCGTATACATTCGTAACATACTGTTACGATTATCCTCGAAACCTTGAGGGATTTCCCAAATATACTCG